TTAACATTTGAACAGATTTATGGACAATATCTTTTATCTTCAAATATTCATGGCTTAATTCATTTAGTAGATGATTATAAACAATATGGGCCCCTTGACAATTGCAGTGCTTTTCCATTTGAGAACTATATGAAAGTTCTCAAAAATATGTTAAGACAGCCTAATAAGCCTTTGGAACAAGTAGTTAAGAGATTCAGTGAATGCGACAACTTTAATTTGAATTTAAATCATACTAATCAAAGTGACAACAGTTTATTAATAGGACCACATAATAATGGGCCTTTATTAGTTGGTTGTGTAAATCCACAGTTTAATACCTTAGTTTTAGAAAATTATAAAATAAAATGTAAAGTAGATGCAGATTCATATTTTTCTTCTAAAACAAATGATATTATAAAATTGATTAATATTGCTCACTCAAATGTCACTGGTTCAATAGTTTTAATTGGAAGAAAATTTGAATCAAAGGAATTATTCTATGATAAACCAATTCAGTCATCTTATTTTGGAATATACACTGTTAAAAATTTATCAAAGAATTTGAGTACTTGGAATATCAATGATATCCAAAGAAAAGTTATGTTATTATCAATGAATAGCATTAGCATTGCTATTCCGTTATTACATTCTTCTTAATTAAAATTAAAACTGTAAATATAATGTTCATATCTAATAAATTGTATTACTTATCAAATATCCTATCAAGTAGTTTAAATTCAAATCCACTTGACACTCAGTTTAACAATTTAAAATTCATAGGTAATACCATTGATTATAGAATAGAATAATTATTTTTAGAACTTTGCATCAATTTTTTTAAACAGTTCTTTTCAGAACTATTCGCGTCATTTACATTAAACAGTCTTTTTTAAGACTATTTGCTTAAGTTTTATAAAATGGTTCTTTTCAGAACCAATAAACATCACTATTAAAATAATTAATCAATGGTAATATCTACTTGTAATTTTTATACAGATTTTTAAATATTTAGTAGACTCAATGAATCAAATTAACTATTGAATATCTAAATATCAAAATTAAAATACAAATTTGTTCTATATGTGTACTTAACTTGTTGCTAGCATACATTTTTAATAATAATTTAGATGTATTTAAATATATGCCTATTAAATTTTTTTTTTTTTTTATTATTTTAATATCTAATATTCATAATAGGTATATACTATATTATATGTTGATAAATAAAGAAATATTTAAATGATATGCTGTATAAGATATACATAGATGTACTTCTTGTATCTACTAAGTAGATATATTTTAGTTTTTTTTTAATTTTTAACAAAAACAAATACAGATGCAACATCATGCATAACTGATTTTTTATTATTAATGTTATCTGTCATATGTTAAGTAGTTTGTAATTTTAAATACTTATTTATCTATTCATGTTAATCATTTATTAATATTATGTTGTCATTTTAAGCTGATGAAAATCATATACAATAAAATAAAATATTTTTACCTATAGTATTACTTAAAAATTATTTTAATGGATTATCTACAAATTTCACATAAAAAGTGTTAAAATTTATTTATTTTTCACTGTATAGAACTATCATGTGGAATGTAGTACATTTTATAAAAGAAGATGCTGTTAAAGCAGTACCCAGCCATTGGATTAAAAAAGGGATGTGTGCATGGCCAAAAAAAGATATAAAAAAACATATTTACCAAAAAACAATCGTTAATAAATTTGATTTTAATTATTTTCCGGCAAGAATTTTAAAAAAAGGCATTGGTAATTTTATAATTTTTTTTTTTTTATCTATTTAGTATGTATGTATTGTGAGGTAAAAATTCTAAGTTGACTGATAAGATACCTGAACTATCAAAAAATATAGGATAAGTAATAAAATGTATAAATTTATTATAATATTATATAATAAAAAATAGTCTTTCTACCTCATATTGTATACATGTAATTTATAATTCATAGGAAGTCTAAGTATTTTGCGCATTTATTAAAATTACCTATATAAAATATTGTAGATAGTCTTCAAGAAGCTAAATCTAAAGTAAGAAAGGCCGAGAACACATCTGATCTTTCTACTAGTGAAGATATTCAAAATAAAACTAGAAGGAAAAAACATGTAGTGGAAGATGCTCCTATTTTTACTGGCTTATCAAATACAGGTAATTGTCATTATAATAATGATTTTTTTTTTTTTTAATGTGTGAATCATTAATAATAAACATTTTTATAGATGTTTTGTCTATCTCCTTGAGTCCAAAATCAAATATGCCCAACAACATTAAGGTTCAATCCTAAGTTCTGAAAAAAATTGTCCTACATTACACAGTTTAAAGGTTGGCAACCCTATTTAGAAGTTAGAAAAAAGTTATTTCATACCACCTCTGCCACTTCTAGCCAAAGTATTATACTAAAAATTGTTACAATTTTATCCTTAGTTTAAATAATTTTTAATTGATTTAATGCTTTTATTTTTCAGAAGATTTTCTTGTACCCAGTTTTAATGATAAACAAAAATACAATATACAGCATTTAAGTACTAATATTTCTAGAACAAGTGATATGAAAACTAACGAATTATATGATAATACAACAATAGGTATTGTGATTATTATAACTAATAATTTCTGTTATTATGTGTAATATGTTTTTGAATTTTAGATATCCCAACAAGAAATCCTAATGATTATGATAGAGTAGAAGATTCTAGTTCGCCAAACTTATTTGATTTTATAAATGATTCAGATTCTAACGATTCTATAGGTTAATATAAAAATTTAATATTTTTAATTGCTTTAATAATTTTTTAACAATTTTTATATCTTAGATAAAATGCAAAAGTCAACTGTTATTCATACTACTTCTTCTCCGTTTAAAGTAACTTTATTGGATTCTACTCAATTTGAAAAAACTACTGCACCATTAAATACATTTGAAAATAGGGATTCTAATATTAAAATCTCTCCAGGTAATATTAAATAAATGCACGTGATTGGTCAAGCCACTTTTTGCATTTAAGTTTCAGTTTTTTTTTTTAATGAGTTTCAAAAATTTTCAATCAATAATTTAGGGACTGATATTAAAAAAAAAATGACCTGACCATTCTCATTTAGACTTGATACTGGATTCAAATCTATTTTCATAATTCTTATTGTTTCTCTATATCAATCGGACTGATATAAGAAAGATTGATAGTGTTGTTATAGCTTAATTTTGACAGGTATCCAGTAGTTACCTTAACCTTTGTAATTACTTTTTAAAATTCACTAAAATTAGTCAAAATCTTTTCTAACAAAAAGTGTGTCTTTAAATTGTACGTACTTTCGTATTAATAATATTTAGTCAGAATATATTTTTATATTTCAGTTGATAACTCTTCGGCTATGTTCATTCCATCATCTTCAGTCCACAAACCTTTAAACCTAAACTGTACTACTCCTAACACAATTCTAAATATATCATATTCTAATGGTAATGTTCTAATATATTATAAATATTTATTATCAACCTTTTCTAATATAAACCATTACTTTTTTTATTTATAATTCAGATACATTGAAAAAAATTTTAAGTGTCGTCTTAAAAATAAAATATGACGTTGAGAACTTGACACATAATCAAAACAGAATGAATAACATTTTAAATGATGTAATATTAACAAATGACAAAAGTGTTTTAAGTCAGGAGGATTCAGTAACAACTGTAAATGATGCCAATGATTATAGTTTGATGTTGCCATTGCACAATGAAGATGAACTAAGTGATTTTGAAAACAAATTACTAAACAAATCTTTCAGATTAAATGTTGTAAATTATTTTTTTATGCATACTTCATTATGTGTATATATTATACTTATGACTAAACAATTTTAAATATTTAAATATTGATTTCAGGTTAATGGTCTAAAACGTTTAATGAAAAATACGTTAACATCTACTATAAGACAAATTCTAAGAACTATTTTTGATGGTGAGCTATTGCAAAATTTTAGTTATGTTGGTCAAAAAAAGAAAAAAATATTTTCAACGTTAGCATCTTGTGCTATTATTTTTGGTAAGACAAAAACATTTCTATAAAAATATATATTTATTTTCCTATGAATTTTTTATATTTGAAATTCTCAGTGGTTTCAGTACCTTCATAATGTCATTAATTATGTAAATGTTTATAACTCTTCTGCATCTACTTAAGGAATTTTATCAATACTCATTAAAATCTAAACTACTGTATATAGCTATATATTTGAACATTGTATACCTACTAATTAAAATAATGTAATCTTAATTATTTTTATTTTTAGAAGCCATAAGAACAATGAAACTTTTTCATGATGTGCCCAATTCAAATATCGAAACACCTATCAAAATTTATATCGCTGGAGCAGCATTTCGCAAAAAAAAATAAATATTTATATATTTACTTATAAATGATTTATTTACAAAATATTATTTTTGAATATCATATTATAATAAAGTGTATTTGCTCAATTTTCTTTATTTTTAATTTATTTATCTTATTTCAAAAAAATACTAAATACAATACAATTATGTTTGTATTACATGACTAACATTATTGGAATAAAAAACATATATTTAAAACAGTTTTCCTACTTGAATATTTTAAAAAATGCTATACATATTTTGTGTAGACAATATTTTCAAAGAAATTTTTAGTTGCTGATATAAAGTAAAAAAAAAAAATATTTTACTAAAATAAAATAAAATTATTAAAAAATATCAAAAAATAATTTTTAAATAATATTATAGTATAATTTATTAAATAATTAAATAATATTATTTATGAATTATTATAATAATATTATTTATGAAATAATATAATAATATTATTTATGAAATAATATAATAATAATGGAATTGTTGCCAAAAAATAATACTATAATAATACAATAACATTATTGTACTCAATTTCTAATTAAATTATAATCATTAAATAATATTACTCATTATAAATGAAATGTATTTATAACATTATTATAATATAATTTTGCTACCTGGGGTCGTTCCAAAAGGTTGCAAACAAAGCGGTTTCGAGATTACTCATCTTCTGTTGAAGGTGCGTTGCTTCATTCCTCACAATGTCTTTTTGCTCTTTATCGGAAGATATGCTGGTTAGAGCTTCTTCGATTTCCGAATAGCCCTCGACTATGGCTTTCGTTGCTTCAGCTCGACAAGACCAACGAGTGTCGCTAAGCTTTTTCAACACGTAAAACTGTCCGCTTTTTTTCTTCGATAATTTCTCAATCAAAATTCGATATCGCTCTGCACTTGCTGTGAAAAACGTGTATAAATCCTGCATGAAATCAAAGAATTGAACAGCCGAGGGACAAGAATTAGCCGCTGCTTTTCCTACTAAATTGAGAGAATGACCACAACATGGTACAAATGCCGATAAATGATTTTTCTCCAGAATAAGAGCCTGCATCCCTCTATATTTGCCACTCATGTTTGCAGCATTGTCGTATGACTGGCCGCGGCAATCCATGATGTCTATTTGATGGTCACCTAAAAATTTGAGTAGAGCGTTTGCTGTGGCTTCGCCAGTATGACCGCAGTTTGGTAAAAAGGTGAGGAATCTTTCTTTTGGCGTCGATCCTTCCATGTATCGAACAACTATAGTTAGTTGATCGATGTGAGATTCGTCGGGAGTAAAGTCTACTGATACAGAATAATATTTGGATTTTTTTATCCTGGATACTATTTCAGTAAGTACTTTATCACCCATACATCTGATCAGTTCTTCGCAAATCGTAGACGAAAGGTAATTGACATGACCACTCCCTTTGTTTGCATGCTCTTTTAAGTGGGTGGCCAGGATAGGTTCATACTCTGCTAGCAATTCCAAAATTCCCAGGAAATTTCCATTTCTCGATGACCCAACAATTTCATTGTCACCTCGGAAGGCTAATCCGCGTTCAGCAATGAATTTGATAGTCCTAACGATAATTCTAAGGATTTTTCACCAATACTCGATTTGTTGTAGTTCTTGCATCGCTAGCTCTTGATCGATACGTCCTGCGACTTTTCCCCGTTGCACTAAACTCATTACTGATTCCAAATGAGTCTTCGAAATCTCATGATCATATAGACGATCGGATGCGTGCTTCCAGTCATTGAAGCCTTCTCTACTGAGTTTGGTGTTTTGAGAGGACATTAATTTACATGGATAACAATATATTTTTCCCTTAGATGGAGAAAAGCAAAGCCAGAATCGATTGACGGTTTCTTGATTTTTATTGCGGCGTGTAAACATGTTTTTTGTACATTTCCGAACAAAGTTAGAATTATCTCGCGGCTCATCTTGATAAAATGGAACTGTATTTTGCATAGACAATTTATCGCAATTTTGAAGTTCTGTCGAACTTTTTTTCGCCCAATATTCGATCATTTCTTTTGTTATATTGGCAGGCCAAAGACCTATGTCATTTTTGAAACCGCAAAATGTTGCTTCATCTTGGAGCTGATATTCAGTTATAGAAAACTGTGTGTTGTCACTTGATGAAACCTCAACCTCAGGATGATCTTGGATACTGTCGACCACGTCTTCATCTTCTGTTAAATCTCCTACTATTTTTTTAGGATCTTGAGGTATTTCTTCTTTATTTGATGATTTAAAAAAATAGGTCAGTTTGGATGTTTTAGCTAAAGTTTCTTCAGATTTCTTGTTACGTTCTGCTTGCAGTTTCCTCTTCTGAGAGCCACTAGCAAAAACTCGAGGAGTTTTGTGGCGATCACTCATGATTCCACTATAAAGTAATCTCGTGTACTAGTTGTTGTAGGTATGATTATGTACAGTGTACACCACTGTACCACTGTGTCTATGTGTTGGAGAGTTGGACTGTGATAGGCGCGAGTGTACGAGGGCCGCAATATAAATAACTAAATATAATATTATTATTCTAATAATTATGATAATAATAATATTAAAATAATATTAATGATAGTTGACATTTACTCGATAATCGGATAATCAATAAAAAATTAATTAGTATTTCTTTTATTTACTTATTATTGTTGAACAATTTAAAATTAAGTCATAATATTTTGCTTTCAGAATAATATAAAAATCAAAATACCATTAAGATTTAGTGCAACAACTTAGGTATTGCAGACTATTAAACGGAATTTAACTACACTGAATTAATAATAATGTAAACTTATACACACAAATAAATAATAAATAATATGCTTTTCGTAAGCTAACAGTAAAAATATTATTTTATTAGATGGTCACCGTGTAGTCTATATTCATAATATTTTACAGATATAATTCACCAAACAAAATAAAAACGGTTAAGTAAAATTACAAGTAAATCTAACCTTACAAGTTAATTACAACCATACTTATAGTGAGCACATACATCTTTCCGTGTGTTGCGGGGTCGACCAGTTCTTCCGGGTTGCCCCGGAGACACTCAGCCCCTTTATGTAACCGCGGGGTTGTCTCTTCCGGGCAGTAGTCCCGGATTGCTCCAGGGGTCCCACCCGGGGCGCCGCCTCACCTCGGGCGCCATAATGAGTGACCGCCGCGGCCAGAGCCCGACGGATTATCGCCTGAGTCAAACCCCTTCTACTAAGGCGGTACTCCCACAACCACCACGAGTCCTTCCTCAAGTGTGCCTTCCCCGGTGCGGGCGAGCGCGTGTCCTCGGTGAGTCCACGCGGTCGTGCGCCTCGGGTCCAGCACCCCCGGAGCGTCGAGGCGCTATTAGCAAGCCGACTCGACGGGGCTTACTCCGAGTCCCGTGGTACAAGGTTTGAACCCGGCGTTCAGGCCCTCGCAACTGCCTTGTCCGCAAGCAAGTCGGTCGGGGCACCGCTGTGTGTACCGCGACGACTCCTTTATAGCGCGTACGGTTTTGATCTTTATCGACAGATTGCCGTTTCTGCCGGTGCCTCTCTCGTATCAAGCCCCGAGCCGGCTGAATACGTGCACGTGCTTCGCCCGATGGGTGGTCTGGCCCCTTTAGTTCGAGCTCTCGGTCTAGGCAAGAATTTGTTCATAGGGAGCGAGGACACCCAATTCGCCCCGCGAGATTTCTCCGTCCGACCCGGTTCCGAAGAGACCGGGCATTCAGTCCGTCCCGCAAGGTATCCCGTTCCTCGCTCCCGGCTAGGCGGGTCTTAGTACGGAGGGCGTTCGACGATCCTGTGGGAGCGCCGTCTTAGGGCCCTTTAGGTGCGGCTATCGGGTCCCGCTTCGCCTGCCACTATCCGGTACTTCGCAGACTTTCGCCCCGCCGCCATCGGTGACAGCGACGGTCGTTCCGGCTAGGCCCACTCGGACGATTTGTTCCCGCGTGGATAGGGGAGACTGTCCCCATGCCTCTGGCAGTGCGCCGTGCCCTGCACGTACGCCCTTTAGCCACACGCCCGACCGCTGTGGTTTTAAAATTAGGGGTCTGGGTCGTGCCCGCGGGGTCGCCCTACATCTTTACGTTCTAGGACCTCCCGGGAGAAGTTTTTGAACGCAAGGAACATGGCCTCCGTGGAGGTCATGGTATCGCAGTCGCACGGCCAGTCCACACCTTCCGCTTGCGCTGCGACTGCGAGCTTGTTTCTTTCCTGGCTATATGATGGGCAATCGTATAGCACATGCTCCGCGGTTTCCTCTGGAAGACCGCATCGGCAACGTGCCTCGCCTCGAAGGTTGAAACGACAGAGCGACGAATTGAAATTCCCGTGCCCGGTCACAAACTGCGAGATGTAGTGGTCCGGAACGAACCACGGCCTCTCGAGCCTGCGCCGCACGTCCGGTAACCAAATCGCCGTCCGCCTACCTTTGTCGCTGGCGACCCATCTCTCCTGCCAGAGGCGTATGGTAGTGTCGTAATACTGTTTCGCCTTTCCAGCAACTTCTGACGCCGACTTGTTTCCTCTCCTCACGGCGTTCTTATCCCGTTCGATCTTAGCCAGCCGAACTAGTTCTAAGTCGAGGGGAGGTACTCCGGCTAGGACCTGGAGCGCCATCGTCGACGTGGTCTTATACGCGCCCGTCATTGCCAGTAACGGGCGTCTTTGGGCGGTGTTAGCCCGTGTTCGATGCCGGTACTGCGCCATGCAGCGCTCGGCCCATACCGAGGCCGCATAACTCATACGCGGCAGGAACACCGATTTGTACAGGATCCTCGTCGTCCTTTCTTTAAGGCCCCAGCTAGCCTTAGCCACAGATATTAGTCGACTGAATAGCGCTACCGAGGACGCAGCCTTTTCCGCCAGATGGGAGCTAAACTTCCTTTGCGGGTCAAACGTGACCCCGAGGTATTTCGCCTCCGGGGTCATTTTTACCTTAGTCCCACCAAGTCGCAAGTCAAGGGGCTTACTTAGTTGGCCCTTGATCCACAAGGTCTGCGACTTGGCCGCCGAGAAGGTGAGTTTCCTGTCGGAGGCCCATCTCGACGCTATTTCTAGCAGCGCGTTCCGTGAGCTCCGGACGGTGTTTCCCGGAGATGAGTAGCGCGAAATCGTCCGCGTACGCGACTATCTCCGTCCCCGGGGGAAGATCGCCGGACAAGAGCGGGTTGACCGCGTACCTCCAGAGGTCGGGACCGAACTCCGAGCCCTGCGGGCAACCCTTTGTTAGGGTCGTCGAGAGTGTCATGTCTCCAATCGCCAGGTGGGCCTTTCGGTCGTCTAGGTAGCTCTTTGTCAGGGCGATCAACCCAGAGCCGCATTTAACCTGTTCAAGATCTTTCATTAGTTGCGCCCACCAGAGGCAGTCGAAGGCCCCCGATATATCCAGGAATACGCCTACGACGTATTTCTCCCGCCTTTCATCTGACCAGCCAAAGGCGTGTGTCATTGCATCTACGGTCGATAGGTTCTTGGTGAAACCAAATTGTCTGGCCGACATATGGATGTCCGTATCTTTACGGATTCTCGCCACGATAAGGTGTTCCAGTGCCTTAGCTAGAACTGGGAGTAAGCTAATGGGTCGATACGACCTAGCCTCCGTCGGGTCCTTATCGGGCGATTTCCTAATGACGACCAGCGCCGCGTTCTTCCACAGGCTCGGGAATGTCCTCGTAGCCAGTGAGGTATTGAACGCAAACGTAATTTGGTTTTGGAGGACGGGCCACGCTTGCCGTAAAATTCCTGCCGTGATCCCGTCCAGGCCCGGGGCCTTACATGTTTAGTGAGCACATACAGTTGAATATTTTCAACTATTATATTTGTATTTTATTATGGTAATGTAATGACCACTTGGTTTTGACAACACGGATCGCATAAAATCGCCGTTTCCAATCCCCTTATTACTGTGTATTAGTTAGTAGTACTAAATAGTTCATAATATAATAGTCAATTATAGGTACTTACGCGTTATTGTATAATGCTGCTGCTATTCAAAATGTAAACATTTAAATATAAATAATGATTAATTATAAATAATAATGTCGTACCATTCACACATAGAAAAAGGAAAATCGAATAATATTATTATTGTGCATATAGCGTTTGCGAGTTCGCGTCAATCGTAAGAGCGGTGGGGTTTAGGATGCGCCGGATTTACTGATAAACAAACTTGCTGGCTACATAAAATTTCACGGAATTACCCATCGGCAATCAGTGTTAAATTTATTTTTATCCTGTTGGCCACTTTCAACGGGACGGCGCGCGACGGGGTGACGGTGCATTTGTGATTTGAAAGATTTTTTTTTTCCGAAGTCACTATTGTGGAGGCCCCTTTTTTGTGGATGCCCCGGGGCTATCGCCCCGGTTGCCCTCCCCTAAATCCAGCCCTGGTCTTACAGAGTATACAACAGACATTAACTATTAATTATTCCTAGGTATATCTGTACCTTATTATAGTAATTAGATTTATACACAAGTCATAATATTTATTTTGACAAAATAAAGTAAACCAATACCATGTCAATAATTAAAAAAAAACAATCAGATAGATATATAATTTTGATTTTATTATAGAAAAAAATTATAATTATTAGTGTATTACATTTTTATTAATAACATTTTGATTTTTCCAAAGGCAAGAAGGGGCTCTCTATAAATAAGTTTTTATAGGCGCTAAAATTTGTGCATTCCTTATGATTATTCATTTTTTTAATTATTTAAAGACAGATTTTAATAATCACATTAAAAAGGAAATTTTTATTATGTTACTATACATATATATATATAACAAATAATTTAAACACTGAATTTAATACTGTAATTTTTTTTTTAAATTTAAAATTAAGTGTACAATTATTCTAAGTTATTAATTAGTAATTTATTAGAATTAACAAATTTAATTTCTTTTAATTAATTCAAAAATATATTGTAATTGAGTAATTTTGGCATTGTAATATGTAAGATTTATCATAATTACAAAGCTATTCTCACTGTGAACTAATAAGCTAATAAAAAAGTATTTTAAATTTTTCAGGTAGGTATTATAAAGATCATAATTTTAGATTTAACTTAAAATTACAAATAATAGTTGTTTGTATATTCTTACTTATTCTTACATTGTGCTTTAAGCAATAGATGAAAATTCTTTTTCCCTTTCTGTCCAACATAACTATAATTTTTCAACAATTCATCGTGAAACATCTGTCGCAAAATTTCTCTCACTGTAGGTACCAAATCTTTTTTTGAATAACGCTTTATTTCATAAATCTAAAACAAGTTATTGAAAAAAAAAATAATTTTAAATAATATATACTTTCATTTAGATAAAGTCAAATTTATTAAATCAATATTAATGACAATCAAGGTAAAAATATTTGAGTTATATTGAACTATATAATATGTATTCTCTGTATATTGGAGAAAATCTTACAACACTTGATCTAAATCCTCTATCACATAGTTATCTTTCAAATTCATCTAATGAATCTTCATTAAAAATAGGAAAACACTCTCCAAATATATTTTCAGTTTCTACGTCAGATGGATTTATATTAAGTCCACTGAAATTAGTTGTAAAAAAAAGGCCAAACTTTGGAATAATACATACAAAAGGAAATAGTGTGTTTTAAGGTCTACTTAAGTGATCTGATAACTCCTCAAAAGTCCTCAACAACAAAGTGTACGGATAACAGTTGGCTACACTGCAAAGATGCTCAAAGCTTGTTTTTCGAGATTTACTCAGTAAATATTGATTTTACATAAAAAATATTCTATACCTTTTTTTGTCAGAGCAATATTGATCATGACAAACGCCAATCAAATTGTGGAAAAAATAAAAGATAATATTAATTTCACTTATCACCATATTATTTATTTATATCATAATTCATAACATACTATTACATGATATAATATTTAAACCAATGATAAAAATGTATTATTCCATTATACATTCATTTGTTTATTCATCTTCATCATCATCAATAGTATGTTAAAAATCTGCCGGATTAGTTTCATCCAATCCTGGAATTTCAGTGTTGTCCATGATTTGTTTTTCCAACTTATCGTCTTCAACTGGCTCTGTATTTTAACAAGATTGACCTTGACCAGAGTATGTTATATTCTTCCTCCGGATTGTGACAATAGTTCAAATAGGGTGACTCACGTAATAGTCTTCTCAAATCACAAGTCAAAATTTGTATTTGCAGAACACATATGAGTGAGTGGAATAGACAATTACCATCACCTGGAATCTCCGTGTTTCTGCGGAAAAAGACTTCGGGAGTAATGCATTTGCGAACCTCATCATATATACGAAGTTGTTGGGTGAGAAATTGATTTTGGCCAAGCTGTACATTTTCTACATTTTCGATAGCCCTGTATTGCACGACATTCTCTTGGTCTTTATGACTGTCCAATTTCTGTCTTTTCCTGCAAAACAAAATGAAGAAATCATATAGTAATAAAATAATAATATTGAGGCATATAATTACAATTTCGATTTTTAAAATATGAAATTTAATTACATTTGTAAATCATCCAATTGTTTTTGGGCTAATTCTTCAACATTACGTTGACTGAATTCTCCTTGACAATTAGTATCTGATTTTGGATCTAGGTTTTCTATTTTCTTAAATCTTTACAACGCTGACGATATGTCCTCATTATCTCACAGTTTATTTTTCTTTTTCTTTTTTTTTCACTGCGATAAAAAAAAAAAAAAAAAAAATTAAGTCATATATTATAATTTCAGTCTCTAAATATATTATTTTGTTATTATTGTTGCATATTCAGCATTTATATTACATTTAATATTTATATATAATCAGCAGTATCATATTATGATCGGTGGGGACTGTCCATCGATTATTATTATGTAAAATTACAATATACGAGCACTACGATTTATGCTGTCAACAATAAAGGTTTATAAAACATGTTTATATTGTTATTTATAATAATAATAAATAACAAATTGGCGACGAGGAAAATATTAGTTTAATCGTAATCACTAGTGTATTAAATGTTTCAAGTGTTGTATTCATACTAATACAAAATGGCGACTCCTAAGACAGAATCCATAGTGAACTTCAATCTAGTTATAGGGTCACCTGGAATCTTTTCTAACAGGTATGGATATTACAATTTTTGAATCAAAATTGACAAATTTTTTTTTGGCAAATGCAATCGAAAATAATATTCAAAAAAGAGCAATATTATTATCATCCGTTAGTGAAGAAATTCACAAAGTACTTTTTAGCCTATGCGTTCCTAGCACGCCTAACGATGTAGAGTATGACACTCTAATAAAAAGTTTGAACCAATAAAATCGTACTTTGCGGCTAGGTATACATTTTATCAGGCTAAACAAAGACAGGATGAATCAGTGTGCCAATGGGGTGCACGTGTCAAAAATCTTGCTTCAAAATGTGGTTTTTCGTCAGAACTATCAACAGTTATTCGAGACATATTCGTTGTCGGTATGGGTTCAGGACCAATTCAAGATCGTCTGTTAGAAGAAGATGCCTCAAAAGTTGAAGTTACATATTCAAATCTAATTGAAATTGCGACAGCCAAAGAAGCTGTAATAAATGACAAAAGTGGCTGGAAAAAAGAAGAATACGCAGACTTGAAGTACCAAAAGAAAAATAATGGACATAATCAAGCCAAGCAGGGTTTCAACACACACAAAGAATCAAAAATCAAATGTGAGATTTGTGGCCGTTCCAATCATTTTCAAAAAGACTGCAGATACAAGGGCTACAAATGCAACAATTGCGGTGAAAAGGGTCATTTGTCTACAGTAATGTAAAAAAGGTAAGAAGGAAATGAAAAATAATAAAACACAAAATAAATTTTTATATGATAACGATGATGATGACGAAACAGTTAATTATGATCTTTCAAATACTTTTTTTTTCTATAATTGATCAAAACTCTCAAAACAAAGCTGTGAAACCGTTTACAGTAAATGTAATTGTAGAAAAAAACAATGTAAGCTTCGAAATTGATACCGGTTCACAACACAGCGTAATTTCAAAAAGATTATATAGCAAACTGTTTAGTCATATCGAATTAAAAGATAATGACATTTCGATATCTGATTACGTCGGCAACGACATTAAACCGATAGGAAAAATATTTGTTGACTCGGTATATCAAAACAAAAAATTTACGATGTGTCTTTATGTAATCGACAATGGTGGTCCTCCATTAATATGCCGAAACGATATAAAAAACATAAAATGTTTTACCTTGTTCAATATGGAAAATGACGTAAGTGTAGATAATATTATAAAAAAATATAACAACGTTTTTAAAGATGAAATAGGTACTTTTAACAAATACGAAATTTCATTAAATATCAAAGCTGGGGCGGTACCTAAATTTTGCAAACCTAGGTCTATCCCTTTAGCATTAAAAGAAAAAGTTGAAACCGAAATTGATCGTTTAATTAAAAGCAATATTTTAGTTCTTATCGACTATAGTGAATGGGCAACTCCAATAGTACCAATATTGAAACCAGATGGCACGGTTAGAATTTGTGGTGATTTTAAAATAACAATAAATCCGGTATTAGAAGGGACTGAATACCCTCTTCCAAAAATAGAACATTTATATGCGAATGTTAGTGGTTCAAGATATTTTTCGAAAATAGACTTAAAAGACGCATATCAACAAATGGTTATTAAAGAATCTGATCGCAAATATACCACTATTAATACACATAAAGGTTTATTTAACTATACCCGTAACCCTTTTGGAATAAAATCGTCGGCTGGGGAGTTCCAAAAAGCTATGGAAACTTCCACAGCGGGTCTTGAGGGCATTGGTATATTCCAAGATGACATTATTGTTGCAGGTTCCACTATCACAGAACACAACTCTCGTTTAGAAAAATTACTAAATGTATTGTCAAATGTTGGTTTAAGA